ATACCAACCTGCAGTCGATAACATACATAAAATTACATTATTAGATGCCACACCCCGGTGGTACATTCAGAAGTATAAATACGCGTAGGTCGAATCTTAAGAAACGCTTTAATCTAATACCGCCTCACGCCCGTAAACAATACTCCAAAGAAAAAACTTAAAGACTGTTGAACCCAAGTTGAATGAACCATTACGATCAGAATATTAAATTGAAGATTGGAGGTTAAACGAAGTATGCTCAAAACACGGAAAGTCTTGCAACTAAATAAATTGGATAGTATGCGGAAACAAAGCAAGAGTAATTTAATTTTTTTTCATTGTGTATACCAAATATTTAAAATCATTATGTAAAAGTTAAATTACTTTTGACTCATAATAATACTCTCTCTTCCTGTGATCGACGAATACAATTAAAATACGCACACAATTGTTTTTTAAATTAAATAGAAAAAGCTGATGCTGGTTCTTTGTTGACACAATAAAAATGATTAATGGCTACAGTCATTATTAAAATATATTTTTAGTCATAAAAAGTAGTCCACGTTCGTATATGATAAGCTCGACTGTGTTGTACGTAAATGTATGCATTTTATTTGTACATCGTATTGTAATGTAATATAAATGTATAGCCTCAGTTTTTATCGTCTCCTAAAGAGATAATTATAAGACTTTTTTTTAAATTTAATTTTCTATTCGTGTAAATTAGACTAAAAATAATACATTATCAAATGCTTTAATATATAATTTAATATTGTAGTCTTAGACTTGCGAATAAGTTCTGAAGAAAACCAAGTTAACCTAGTGTAATAACTGTTCATATTTATTTTATTTTCTTATCTCAAACTATTTAAAAATAATTTAAACTTTAATTCCTGTGCATTTACACATTCGCTGTTTATTATTTTTTATGTGCTATTATATACACAGAATACTGTACAATGTACGTACACAGTGGTGCATAAGAAGTAGTAAAAACGTAATGAGGGATACTGTTTACCTTTCACCCAAGCTCATTTCATTCAACTATGTACAGGCCAATATGTTATGAGGATATACAACAGTATACATATTTTAAATAAGGGTCGAGACTATATGTGTTACCTTTATAGCTTTGTGTAGGGGTTGTAGGTAACGCAGGGAATGCACACGCCGTAGTGTATATATTTTCCATTTTTAATACTTCTTATATCCAATAATAATACAGTTTAAAATATTGTTCTTTAAATTACAATTTCCATTCAACAATGTTTACAAATTAAAAAATTAAGAGCGCTTTTGTCGTGTGCATGTTTGCACATAATTATTAATACGTTCATGAATAATTGGTTGATCCTTAAATATTTTAACATTAAAAGTGTGTAGTGTCATTTATACTCTTTATTTTGTATTCTTCTGATACTTTCGGTAGCATTGCTTTTATTAAAAATTTTGTTTTTGTTTGTTCAATTAAATTTTTGTTAATACATTTATTATTATTGTTGAACGCGTATTTATTATTAAATCGTCTGAAACGGATTTCACACTGATAATATTTATTGAATTAAAATGTTCTATGAACTTTATCCGGCAAAAATTAAAAAAGTGTTTTGTATTAACATTTGCAGCTGTATACCCTATTGAAATAGCCCCATACATACGTACTATATAGTAGATAACTGTTTGGGCGTTAAATATCCGACAGTTCAGTCTGATAAATTACGTTTGTCAGCTGACGTTTATTAAACGTCCGGAGGCCTTGTTCCGGATGCCGAGATTGCGTTCGTGTGTCACATAATTGTGTTGGACGAGTGGAGAAGGCATAGTGCGGAAGTGATGAAGTGCCCGCAGTATTCGAATGAAGTTGGTTCGCGGAACCTTTTTACCAAAAAGATCAATATTATGAAAAGACAGTGCGGAAATGCCCTATATTTTATTTGTTATTCTGAAAAAAAAATAAAACGATGAAGAAAATGTTACATAAGATTCTCCACACGAAAATTACAGTAAAAGCATACTCGTATACACGAGTTGTAATATATTATGCGTACATGGAAATATGAACTACTCTCCACCCGACGTGTATTACGTAGACATTTTGTGTTCAGAACTTCAACGAATTCGAGCATGAAAATAAAACGGTTATAATACTATAAATGTTTTTCAAATAACACGGTTTAGTAGTTTGAACAAGAATGTCTAATAGTTTCGAGACATATTTTAGCGATTTTTAGGCGCGATGTGATGTAAAATATGACCTATGAGAAATAGGCATGCTACTTATACGCACGTTCATCTAACAGAAATAAAAATGTTTTTCAGTTTTGTATTTTTTATTTGATGATGGAAGAAATAGGAGTGAAATAATAAAATGCATCTGTAAAGCTAAAATAGCATTTAACAGCAAGAAAACTCTTCTCGCATCAAGAAACATTAGCCTAAAAATAAAAATAAATCTATTGAAAACATATGTATGTAGTATAGCCATTTTTGGGTGTGAAACATGTACAGTAGCAACATAAAAGCGAAGAAGGCTAGAATCTTTTGAAATGTGGTGCTACAGAAGAATGTTAAGAATAAGTTGGATGGACAGAGTAATCAATGAAGAGGTGCTGGAAAGAATAACAGAAAGAAAATTAATATGGAAAAATATAGTTAGAAGACGAAACGAATGAAAAGGCCGTATAATGCGACACGAGGGACTGCTAAAACTGATTATAGAAGGAAGCATAGAAGGGAAGAATCATAGGGGAAGACCAAAATTAGAGTATATTCAACAAATAATAAAAGACCAAGGATACAACTCATATGTAGAAATGAAAAGGAAAGCGGATGATAGAGAAGAATAGAAGATGGCTACAAAGCAATTTACAGATTGAAACCATAGAGAGAGAGAGAGAGAGTTTTTATTTGTTAACTGTTAATTTTTCTTAAAATTTTGGTGAAAATCTAAGATTTTTTCCGCTGTGATGATCGTGAAAAATTCTAATAAAGCTATGTTTTAAATTTTTATACTATAGGTACCTACATAAAGATAAATATATATCTACAGCCATATATTTAATAGTATAACTTTAGTATTTAATGTATGTTACTGTATAACATACTAAAGGAGACAACAAAACGTATATACTAATGTTTTTCAATTATATAACATAATATTTATTATTTTTATTCATGATAAAAATGAACTTTTTTATAGTATTAAAAACAGGCAGCCCTGAATAGATTTTTTTTTCGGACACTGTGTTACTTGAATTATTTGATAAAAATCTCTAAGTAATTTTGATATTTTTCTTAATTCTTTCTATTTTTATGTCAAATTATTTTTTTTCAACTTTAATGATTATCATAATATGACGCTTTACAAATTTAACAGAAAATGATTAAATATAATCTTAACTTTTACATTATTGTAGTGAATAATATGAAAATAGTAAGTATTTATAATAATTATTTAAATAAATATATTATTAGTGTATTCGTATTACCTATACAAAAAAATAATAAAAGTATTTGGTTAATTTATTTATATTCATTATAAATAATAAATTAATACAAAAATAAGTTTTGTGTAATAAATGTGTAGATCTATATTTGCTGTAAACATTGCTTTATGAATTTGAATTGAATACATATAAATTTTTCGAGTTCATATTTGCTTGTATTTTATAAAATAAATCAACATTATCTTTTTGAAAATGTAAAATAAAATAATTTCTGAATATTAAGATATAAAATAAAAATATGACTAGTAAATACATAGAAATAAGTTTAAAATTTTGGTAGAGAATAATTTGTATGCCAGTATTATTATATACATGAATATAAAAAAAAAACAAAATTAATTATGGTATCACTTCCGTATCTCCATTTTTATAGGCTATTACTGTGTCATAATGCGAATGTTATAAATTGAGTTAAAAATAAAAAAAAAAAAATGAAACAATGATATATGACATTCACAAAATATACATTGAAAAGGATAAAGGACACAGAGGTAAATCACTATCGGATAATTTATTAAAATTTTTGATAAAATGTCACTTAATATAACAATCCTTTCGATCTCTTGTATTAACTTATTTTATTTAAAACGATGTTCAACACGGTTGTTGGTTAATTAATAATCTGCGTTCATAAATTCATTTCTTTTTTAAATATCCATACTCCTCTACCACTCATTCCTCTACCAAACTGTCCATCAATTCTTCCCCTCTCTGTACAAGACCGCATGAGAAATGAATCTGCAATTTCAATTACTTCATTTGACTTGTATTTACATTCTTTAGATAATTCCTTTTTATTTTTCCTGTCTTCTTTTGGTTATACTTCTCCCGACTCTAATATTTCCCTTAACGCATGCTCCATTCCTATCATTCAATCCACTATAAATTTCATTAACCACTCTAGCTAACTTGTTTGCATTACTTGTGAATTTTCTTTACATGCAATTAAATATATTTATTAATTTAACTTAATTGCTATAATATTTAATAACAAAAGCAAAATAAAGAATTAAAAATAAATTTACTTTTATAGAAATCTATGTGTTTTATGTACTAGTATACGTTTATGGTAGGATCAATGTTGAATACGAGTACGTATTATATCTATATATGATTTATATATACTTATCATAATTTTATACTGCTGTTTTAAAAGAAAAGAAAATATTAATTTTCCGCGCAATTGTTTTAAACTTCTGATTTTGTAAATATTGAACTTAATTTATTATGATTTAAGATGTTTTTATCAGAAACATAAATGCCATATATACCCACTGATAATAAAACCTTTACAGCTTAAATAAGAAAAATAATTATGAAAAGTATATAATAATCACTAATTATTTTTCCTTTTTATAGTTAATGATCATAACAAATAAAATCTGTTTATGTTTTGATGTGTCATAGGTACTAATACTATGTTATTAAATAATTATTTTGTATTAAACTGTTTCATAACTATAACGTCTATTTCAATATATTATAGTCTATAACGCTGTAATTTATTTTTTTCAGAGACGTCAATAGGAATGACATGAAATTAATTGTATGTCAGTGTGGGGTACAGCCCCCAAGCAATGGGAGATAGCACCGATAACTATATTAATGCCACAGAATCAGACATCATGATTAAAAGACAAATAATCAGAACCGAATTTTACAATACTTACGACGTCATGACTGGAGTAAGAATTTAATAGTTAACAATTCTCCACACAGAAATTGTTCTTATTTATAAAGGCGATAATAAGTAATAACACTAATAATGTTAACGTTATGAATTAATTTTTTTAGATTAGAATTGCATCCACTTTAGGAGGATTTTTTTTGATGATGGTTCTATTAGTGCTGTATAAAAGCAAATGTAAAACTCGATCACTCTCCGATCAACATCTCGAGGCGGTCATTAAAGCTGCTGTAGATCAAGAAGAGCAATTGGCTGCTTTGGCCAAAAGAAGTTCTAGCTCTAGCTATTGCTCTGGTCACGGCCTTTGTAGATGTTCTCCGAGTAAGTCAAACCTTTTGTGTTCTTATTTCACGTACAATTGTATAAATATTTGTTTTTGTTTCTAGGATATAGCATGACTGAGAACAGTGTCACCGATTGCAACAATTGGAATCGTAGGTCTAAGACCTATCTTTCTGAAACTCAATATCATCCATACTCTGCTTTAACTCAAACTAGCAACAAATTTATGAAGTCGTCTGTATTAGAGTACTCTTTTGAAGAAGTGAGTACTATGAGATGATAAATAATGGTGAATTAATTTTAAAACCATAGAATTTATTAGTTATTTCTTGTATATAAAAATAAAAGTAAATAAATTTGAAATATACTTCTGTTGAATATATTTTAATAAATTAATATTAAATTAATATTTTTTTAAATCTAACGAATTAACGGTAAAATGCATTTACTAAAATTCTATAAAATAGGTAATGCATTCAATATAAACAGTATTATGATATAAAAAATCAAATTAATACTGTCTAATAATTGTAGGTATTTTTATAACTGTAATTGATTTAGACATCCTGTCAATAACGTATTCAATAATGTTTATTTATTGTTGTTGTAAATTTTCAGACAGTAAATTGTTGGTACGTATAGTAGACATATTTTGTGTAGATTTACTACTTGAATGTGTTTATAGTAATTGTACAATCGTTATTTCTAATCGTATAATCATAATTATTATTTTCTTAAACAATAATGTAGTCGCGCATTCAATTTTTAAGGTAGAAATCAGACAATTATTAATTTTATTATAAATATAAACGGTTTGAAATTTATCATTATTACAACAAAAATATTCTTTAACTATAGGCTAGATATAAATACGTATAACTATATGTATAAGCCACTTGTTAAGTTCAAAGTTAAGTACATAAAAATTTTTTTTACTTATTAAACTAATTAATTTCATAAAAACAATTAATTATATGCAAGTATATAATATTAAAAATATTGTCTTTAAAAATTGTTTAATAGCAAAAACAGTCAGATTTTTCATAAATATGGATTAAAGCAAATTTCATCATTCCTCAAGAACGAAATCCGTTAATTTCCTCTAAATTTATTTTCACGATTGTATGATTAAAAAAAAAAAAATGGGTTTAGTAACTTATTTGTGTTGTCTACCTCTCTGAGATTAGATCTATGCTTTGATAATATTATCTTATATTTATCTGATAATATCATTATTATATATTTAATCGTAAGTTTAAGTTATTATAGTTAAGATATTTATTCTTTTTTGTTAGATTCCAGTAAATTTTTTATCACGTCCGTCTTTATTATTAATTATGTTCAAACTATCCCTTCTTTAGTTTAAATATACCTTTATTATAACTCTTAAGTTTTAAAACTTTTTTTTTAATATGTTTTTTAGGTATTTATATTCGTTTGATGTTATTAGTTATAATAAGTAATATAAGTAATATTGGTATTTCGACTTTCTTTTTGCACTATTGTTTGATATTGCTACTCATAAAAATTATGTCCGCATTAATACCCTCATCTCCATCTGCCGCTATTGAACGATAATGGGAGCTTTGTATCATATACTAAAGTTAGATCGTTTGCCTCTGCCCATTTCTCTACTTCTTTCCTATCTTCATTCGTTTCGTTTTAGCCCTAGATGCTGTTGTGACTATTGAAATTGCCAATTAAAATTTTTATTTTTTGGTTTTCAAAATGTATTGGCTTTGTACATTTAAATGGGATGTAGATGGCATATATATTGACCATGGAGTTTGTAAATTCTACTGTGATAATTTCTATGTCGTTGGTTTCTCTACAGTTTATTGAGAGGATCTTTAGATTATCTCTTACAAATATCCTACTCTAATATTTTTTTGGTGGTCTCTCTATTGCCAACTTTATTCCCCTTATCTTCGAACGATTGTTGTCCATGTTTCAGTATGTTTCTTGCACGCATACAACATCGCATGCGTTTTTTGGCATATTTCTTGTAAGATGTCACTTTTAGTGTTTGAAAATCCTTCAATGTTATTGAAGGCGTTATAATGATTGGTCCTGAAAATACCGTTTTAGGTTTTTTGGCGTGATTAACATTGGTATGGCAGTTATAGTCGAGACTATTTACACAGACTGAGATCCGTCTAGTGATGGTAAAATTGGCCGTGCAGCACGTTTGGGCATTTTTACCTGTTTAGTATTCAAAATCCACACAACGTTGGGCACTTTATATCATATTTATATAAAAAGATAATATCTATATATATATATAATTATTATACATATATAGGAGAAGAAAAAAAGGTAAATATTTTTAATCCAGGTACTCACCATTTTGATTATTACCATGAGAAAAAATATTAGGCCGAATTTAGTTTCGTTAACTCACCTTCTTCACATCTCTCAAGAGGGTTGAAAAATGGCCAAATAGGGTAATTTAAAAGTTTTTGCATTTAAGTGGAAATCTAAAGAATTTATCGTAAAATACTATGGAATATTTATTTAAGAAATAATAATTTTCTATAAGAAATGTCTTAAAAAAAATGTCTTAAAAGATTTTCCCGAAAATTCATTATTTTCTAGGAAAATATATAAATAAAAAATATTTATTATGTTCAAAAAAAAAAAAAAAAACATTTTTCATAGTTATTTAAATATTATTGATGAATGGTTGAAAATATAATACATTTTTTTTAATTTATGATATAAAATTAAATTTTTTACAAAAGAAGTGATTAGTGCACATTTTATTGGTCAACCAGTTTTAAATCTTACTTAGGTTCATATAAAATAAAGTTAGTAAAAATTCGTAATTTTATAAAATTTCCAAAAAATTTAATATTTAAAAAGCTTATTTAAATTGTATATTCTTCTTTTAAAACGTTACGACTAGATCCTGGATACTGCTTCCTATAATCTTGAATAATCTATAATTATAAAAAAAGTTACGAAATTGTTACTAAATTATTATATAAACAAAAATCAATAAAATTACTTGTAAAACATATTGTTTTTGTTCTTCTTGCTTAGTAAATTTATCATTAAATTCTTCAATCAATTTAACTCCTCTCTTTGCACAATCAATAACGACTTTTAATGAAGCTAAAATTTTCTTTCCTTCTACGTATTCTGGTATACTTTCCCATAATGCTGGATCCTTGTTTAAAAATTCCGTGAAAATCCAAAATCGTCGAAAAAATTGAATTGATTTATTTGAAAATAATTCAAACGGAAGATCTTTTTCTAAAAAGTTTGAAACATCATCAAATCTTACAGTAATTTTTTTTTTATAGTCTTCTTCTTCATTAGTTTCTTCACTCAATTCTAATATTTTTCTAGCTATTTTTAGTCTGGTTGTATTATCAATGCGATCACCAAATAATGATAAAACACAGCATTCTTTATTTAAATATCACAAGTGGTTGATAAACTTTTTAATTGCTACTTCTTTTATCGTTTTATTAAATTGTGTATAATCAACTAATTTTTTTAACAATTTTATATCATTAATTGGAGCTGCAATTGGATCGGAGAACAAATCCATGACTTTAAATAGCATGTTATAATAAAACAACATATTTTTTGTAAACTTCTTTTTTCTAATGGAGTAAGTTTGAACTGCTCGCAGAACAACAATATTTTAAGACAGTAATGGCTTTTGTCATCCATCGGGCTAAATAGTATGCCCCCGGGGGTCGAAAACGTATACCATGTGGAGGTATTTTTCCCAAAAATATTATGAAAAGCTTTATAAATTCTTTATAGTCATCTATTGGAAAAGTTTCATTAATTTTTTTTGTACAAAATAATAAAACATCATCAGTTACATTTTTTAATACTTCAAATACTTTAGGATGTGATTTCTATACACTGAAATGATTAGTATCTAAATTGGCCCAGTTATTTTGAAATCGTCTGAATAATGGAATATTAGGTCCAGACATAATTAAAAGTTTTGATATGATAAAAACAGCTTGGAAAACAATTTGCAATATATGATGGCAACAAGCGAAAAAAAGAATTCATTTTTTGTTCAAGAAGTATGTATATAACATTAAAACGACTACTATTTGATGCCGTAGTGTCAAAAACAACAGCCTCTACTAGCTTGATCTAATAAACTCCAGTCTTTTAATGTATTATATACGGCCGAAGATATTTCATTTCCAGTCCAGGATGATAATTGTGGAACTTCTAATAATTGTTCAGTATTAGGTGCTGTAATAATTACAGGAAGATGGTCTATCTTTTTTCTTCCTGTAAAATTAGGTAATAATTTCGAGTCCCAATATACAACAGCAAATTTCAAATTTACATCAAGAAATTTAGATTTTATTGCTTCTGATAATTTTTCACGACACTTTTCTCGAGCTCTTTTAATCGAAGACCTATTAATAATATACTCACTAGTATTAAAATTAAACAATTCAGCTACAGCAGTGAGTAAATAAAATATACGGCGTCACGATCACTAATTTTACATTTGTCCAAGGTAACTGATAAATGATGGCTTATAATTTATTTTCGTGCACGCTTAATTATTGATGGACCATGTGATTCAGTATCTTTAATTACCTCATTTTCAGTGTAATCTTCTTCTGATGAATAATCCCAATTTACAACTTTAATTTACAAAATTTATTATTGAAAATTACATGTATTTCAATAAAATAAAAACATTACAGGTAGGTAATGTTTTTATTTTATCGATTCTGATTCCATTTGGTTTTTTTCTTTCTGCTTAGCTTTTTGTTCTTCTAAAGACACTTTTCGTAACTCGACAGCAGTTAATATTATATCTTTACCCATCATACATCCTTGACGTCTTTTTTTACGTTGTTTTATAAAAAAAAGCTTATCTTCATCTATTTTTATAATATTTAATGCATTGCTGTGTGCGATGTCAAATAAATCATTTAAATTTTCTTCAAACATTTCAGTATTTTTTCTTTGTGTTTCAGTACTTTTACTTTTATTTTTATCTAACCTAACTCATTGGCTATATAGTTTTTTATTTTTTTTATATAATTAGATCGATCCTGAATCGGTATACGAACTTTTATCCAAATAGTTTGACATTTATCAAAGACAAGGCTTGCACTATCGTGTAATTTTAATTTGACAACACGCATATTGTAAAATAAAATACTCAAAATATAATTTTTGGATGGCAGTTTACTATCAGTGATCTGATATCTGATTCTTCATGACACCAACCAAAAATATTAATTTTTTCAACATAATTAATCT